GGGCAGCCCTGCTGCTGCTCAGCTCTGCAGCATGGTGCACTCCAAGGCTCAGCCCAGCAATTAGCAGAATAATTCCTCCTCCATCTGTAAAACACTTCCTGTGAGTGAGGGATTGTTCTTGCCTCTGTTGCCTGTGGGCAGAGATCTGGATGCCTCAGCAATTAAAACATAACCTGCTTCCTGATATCCGCCTACAGTCTTGCTCTGATCCACACCTCATACAGAAACCCATTTTGCCCCAGAGCTTGGAGGCCCCATCAGCACAGGCAAAATACTGAGGAGAGAGGGCAGCAGATACTCCTCTCTTACTACCATAGCAGGATCTGAAAGGAGTTGTTGCCATCTCTCAGAGCGCATTTGGCACGTTCTCGATTTAATATACCAGTGGCCAAACCATTGCCCTTTGGAGACGGGGCCCCTGGTCTGGGGGCTGCTGAGAGGTCTGTGGCCCTGCTGCTGAGCACAGCACCCTGCATGTGGATTCTGATGTGAGCTGGCGCTCTGCTTGGACACCTGGGGAGCCAGGCCTATCTCTGCATCTCCAGCAATGGCATGTACTCACTCACACTCCCCATTTAGAAACAAGCAGAGCAGGGGGGAGAGATGTTTCGATAGAACAGCGTTGGGAACCTGCTGGACCATGGTTGAGCCTGTTTGAAAGGCTTTTAGTGGTGGAGAAGGGTGGAAAACATGTTGGCCCATCAGTTCTGCTGTGAGAGGTTGGTTTGTTCTCTTTCCAGGAGATGCAGTAAGCAGTTCTCAGATGATTAATGAATGGGTTGGGTCTAGCAGAACACTTTAACTGGTGGTTACAAGCTAGGATGAGAACTTAGAAGTCTTTTTCTCTCCCTTTCTCTGCAGGATTATCCCAAGCTCAGCCAGTCATACTATTCCTTGCTGGAAGTTCTTACCCAGGACCACATGAACTTTATAGCCAGTCTGGAGCCTCATGTGATCATGTACATTCTCTCTTCCATTTCAGAAGGTCTCACTGCACTAGGTAACTACTTCTGCTCTCTGTGGTGCTCTTAGGGCTTTGATTTGGAGGTGGGGAAATACTTTGGACTGCTTTGAAAGCATTTCATGTATCTGCTAGCATTTCAGGCTACCAGATAAGTCAAGACATACCTTGTCAATGGGTGGAGGAGTTTCACCTCTGTTAAAGCTGGAATATTAGAGATAGTTCATATCACAGAATCACAGAATGGGTTGTGTTGGAAGGGACCCTAAAGCTCATCCAGTTCCACGCCCCTGCCATGGGCAAGTACACCTTCCACTAGAAGAATATCAGTGAGGAATATAAAAATATATCAGAAGATGTAGCAGTGAGGAAGTTGCTGACCTGTTTAGGGTTAGGTTCTTGCTTGCAAAGCCCCTAGAAGGACCCACATGAGTGGTGATGCTTCCCTGGGAGCCCACCCAGTGCATCTGAGCGAGGGAAAACTCTGGCAGTGCCCCAACCCCTCCCTGCTTTCCTGTTCTTGCAGACACCATGGTTTGCACAGGCTGCTGCTCCTGTTTGGACCACATTGTCACCTATCTCTTCAAGCAACTCTCTCGCAGCACCAAGAAGAGGAGCACACCTCTGACCCAGGAGAGCGACCGCTTCCTGCACATCATGCAGCAGCACCCGGAGATGATTCAGCAGGTAAAGACCTGGCTGGTGTTGGGCCTTGTTGTGACACGGCACAGGAAGCTCCTTGAGTTGTCTTAGCATGATGTAATGTGGGGGCTGCATGACCCCTGCTCTACACCCCCAGGCTTTTCTGGAGCAGAAAGGTGTTATTTTTGCTAGTATTGCATCTTTTCTGTATCCATCTTCTGGTAGGTCTGATTCAGTGCCATGCTTCAGGGCTGTGCTTCCTTGTGCAAGGAACACCATTTTTTCATTTCAGATACAAAAGGAAGTAGCCAAAAATGAGCTTTTGCCCGTTTTTTTTAAATGAAAGTTACAGAAAGTGCTGGTGGTTGACAGGAATGAAGCTGTGAAATGTACCTTCAGCCAGAGAGCACGTGTGGTTCCACTGCTTTAACAGATGTGAGCCAGGGTTTGTGTAAATCCCTGGAACAGCTCAGTGGTGCCTGTGCACTCGGAGCAGAGCAGGCATCAGCAGGTCCCTGTGCTTGACAAGGCTGGAACAGACCTTAAAGTTCATCTGGCTGGACTGGAGGAAGCTCCCTAGGGCACCAGAGCCTTTGCTCCCTGCATTTAAGCACTTCATTGCCTTGTTTAAGTGAAGATGAGACAATTCCCCTGGAGTACATGGCCTGCCAGCCTTCAGCACCTCCTCCATGTGCTTTCAGTGAAAGATCTGCACCTTTTGATGGGGGTTCCAGGTCCTCATCCTGTCCCACAGTGCTGAGAGCTCCAACGCTGGGGGCATCAAAGGCGAATCATTGCTCCCGAGCTGCACAGTGCTGTGATGAGGACAGCTGGGATGGAAGGGCTGGGTTTAAACCCTCACTTTCCTTCTTCCAGATGCTGTCAACAGTGCTGAACATCATCATCTTTGAGGACTGCAGGAACCAGTGGTCAATGTCGCGGCCTCTGCTTGGCTTAATACTGCTCAATGAGAAGGTAAAACATCCCACCAGGCTCCCGGCAGGGCTTGAGGGCTTGGATGAGGCTGGAGGGAGCTGAGCCATGTCAGAGAGGGGCTGGGGCAGTCGGGTTGCGTGTCAAGGGAAGGGTGTGCAGCCCTTGGCAGCAGCCTTGGCACTGAGGAGTCCTGGTACTTTGAGGGCACCAGGAGTCACCTGAGGAGCTCTGACACGTTTCCTCCCTCCTCCGAAGAGCCTGGCGACAGCTCTGTCCCAAAGCCACGGTGGCTGTTGGTTCCTCTGGGAATTAACCCATCCTTCTCTTGTCCTGCCCAGTATTTCTCGGACTTGAGGAACAGCATAGTGAACAGCCAGCCCCCGGAGAAGCAGCAGGCGATGCACCTCTGCTTCGAGAACCTCATGGAGGGCATCGAACGCAACCTCCTGACCAAGAACAGGGACAGGTGAGTACGAGCCGGGGCTCTCCTGGGAGCAGCGCCGCGGAGGCTCCGCTCTGACGCGCTGCTCTGCCTCTGCCTTAGGTTCACACAAAACCTGTCGGCCTTCAGGCGGGAGGTGAACGACTCCATGAAGAACTCCACCTACGGCGTCAACAGCAACGACATGATGAGCTGACATCTCCCAGGCCCCCTGTACAGAGCAGCATCTCTTTGGCCTGGCCCAGAGGGGTAACCATTTCCGATGGAAAGAAAAGAGGGCGTTTCTAAATCCCTGCTCTTCCCCCAGGGCTGGATTGCGGCCCACCCATGCTCCACATCCCAGGGGAGGAGGGAACAGGAGGGGTTGTTGAGCTCACGGGGCAGGGTGCTTCTGTTTCCATGGGAAGGGGGTGGAAGGGCATAAAGCCAAGTGCAAGAATCCAACGTCTCCCAGCCCGAATGTCTGCGTGGAACGCCAGCGCTCTGCTGCAGTCTGCCTTGTATAAAACATGTACATTTTTTCATAACATTTTGAACAAGGTTTATATTGACTCAGTTTAAAAAAAAGAAAAAAAAGGAAAAAAAAAGAAAAAAAAGGCAAAAAAAAAAAAGGCAAAAAAGGGTGTGATTGGGCATTTTTACAGTCCTGGTGCACCGGTGCTGCGGGAGGGTGTGAGTGAGGAAAGCGTGGCCTGAAGCTTTACTGGGCGAGGGGTGGCTGTGTGAAAGTGCAGAGATCTATTTAGTGACAGTGTAGAGAGAAATGAAAAAACCACAAAAAAACAACACAAAAACCGAGAAAAAAAGGAAAAAGGCAAAAAAAAAAAGAAAAAGGCATTGTAAAATTCCAAAATGTATATTTTTTCTTATTAAGCCCCTTGAAATCACAACTCCCCCCCTCCTGCCCTTGTTATTAGGAACTCTAAGCCATGGCGCGTGCTCTCTCATTCGTGCTTGCTCGTGGGTGTCTCCTGTCCCCCCGCTGTCGCAGCAGTAGGCACTGTCCCCTCGTCACCCTGCTCCCCCAGGGCCCTCGCCTCCCTCCGCTCCCCCTTTCTTTTGGCTTTTAGGGTGTCTTTTCTCCCCCCTCAGCCGAGCAGGAGCACAGGGGGATGCTCCCGGGGCCCGCAGCACACGGAGGAGGGTTCTTAATAACAAGGTTTTGCCTCGCATGAAGTATCCCCCCTTTGGGAACGATTCCATTCTCTTTGGAAGCCACCACAATGTGTTTTGGATCTCAAACCCACTTCTGGAGGAAAGCAACGGGGGAGGGAACCTGTTTGCCTTGTACTTTTTCCACTATTGTTGCTGCTAGTCGTGTGCATCCCCTTGCTCAGCTCTTCCCACACTCTGTCCTCGGGGCTCTCGTTTCTCTGCCCAGGCACCACCTTCTCAGTTTATTTTATTTCCTTCATTTTGTTTTTCTCCCCGTTTTCTTCCCTCTGGCGCCTGTGTGTTGGGTCCTTTCCGCGTGAGCAGATTGCTGGTTGACTTGTAAGGGTGTTTGCTGCATACAGTGTAAGCATTGTGACTGCAAATAAAATTTCAATGGTTTCTACTGAGCAGTGTCTGGGCCTGACTCAGCTGGGGCTGTGTAGGGAGATGGAGCAGAGGCAAAGGGCAGGGTCCTGCCCCTCTGTCAGGGCACTCTCAAGCACAGGCTGAGGGAGAAGGGCTGGAGCAGCTCTGCTCTGGAGCCAGGCTGAGCGAGCTGGGCTGGGGCAGCCTGGAGAAGAGAAGGCTCCCGAGAGCAGCTCCAGTGCCTGAAGGGGCTGCAGGAAACCTGGAGAGGGGCTTTGGGATATAAGGGATATGAGGACAGGCCAAGGGGAATGGCTTTAACCTGCCAGAGGGGAGACTGAGATGAGCTCTGAGGCAGAAACTCTTCCCTGTGAGGGTGCTGGGATTTCAGGCCCCGTCCAACACAGCCCATTCCAGGTCTCTGTGATCCACCTGAAATCCCAGCGCATTCGGCGCTTTCTGGTCCAGGGCACGTCCCACAGCTGAGCACAGGGAATCCCTTCAGTGTAAAAACGTTTATTTACAGTCTGTGATGGGGTGGGTGCAGCCCTGCCCGGCCCCCGCCTGGCCACGAGCTCCCTGCCCCTCTTGGAGCTCCTCCCGTCCTCATCCCGATGCCGCTTCCTGAGCTGCCGGCTCCCTGGCCCTGCTGTAGACAGCGCTGTTCCATCCCTCCCTGTTGCGAGCGATCTCGATGGCAAAGAACTGGATCCTGGTGGCTGAGAGAGGAGAGAGGAAGAACCTGAAGTGCTCGGGATGGTGGGGTCAGCTCTGCCCTAGCGCAGGGCTGGGCACGGGGGCTCAGCTCAGCTCTGCCCTAGCGCAGGGCTGGGCAGGGGGGCTCAGCTCAGCTCAGCTCTGCCCTAGTGCAGGGCTGGGCACGGGGGCTCAGCTCAGCTCTGCCCTAGTGCAGGGCTGGGCAGGGGGGCTCAGCTCAGCTCAGCTCTGCCCTAGTGCAGGGCTGGGCACGGGGGCTCAGCTCAGCTCTGCCCTAGTGCAGGGCTGGGCACGGGGGCTCAGCTCAGCTCAGCTCTGCCCTAGCGCAGGGCTGGGCAGGGGGGCTCAGCTCAGCTCTGCCCTAGTGCAGGGCTGGGCAGGGGGGCTCAGCTCAGCTCTGCCCTAGTGCAGGGCTGGGCAGGGGGGCTCAGCTCAGCTCTGCCCTAGCGCAGAGCTGGGTACAGGGGTCAGCTCTGCCCTAGCGCAGGGCTGGGCAGGGGGGCTCAGCTCAGCTCTGCCCTAGTGCAGGGCTGGGTACAGGGGCTCAGCTCAGCTCTGCCCTAGCGCAGAGCTGGGTACAGGGGTCAGCTCTGCCCTAGTGCAGGGCTGGGCACAGGGGCTCAGCTCAGCTCTGCCCTAGCGCAGAGCTGGGTACAGGGGTCAGCTCTGCCCTAGCGCAGGGCTGGGCAGGGGGGCTCAGCTCTGCCCTATCCCGGAGCTCCGCGCACCGAAGATGCTGTTGTCCTCGGTGTAGCCGCCGCGGCAGTCCAGGCGCAGCAAGGTGCCGTAGTTGAAGTCCTCCACCAGCCCCTGGAAGCGCAGGCAGAACGGGCGCCACTTCTGGGGAGGACACGGCCCAGGTCACACCGGGGGAGGGCAGAACCCGGGTGAGCCCCCCCACTGCCCCAGCACCTCCTTGGCAGGCTCCGACTTCAGCTCCTCGGGGTCCAGCACCTCCACTCGCAGGTCCCCGAAGGCGGCCCTGAACTCGCGGTAGATTTGGTCATCGACCTTGGTCAGGTTCAGGAACTTGGGGTCGACGGAGGAGATGAGCTGCGCCGAGACACCGCAGGGTTAACGGCGACCCCCCCGGCGCCCCTCTGAGCCCCCCCCGGACTCACATTGAAGTAGATCTCGGCGTGCTGATGGGCCTTCATGGCCCAGGCCAGCTCCACGCGGGGCTGCGGAGGCAGGAGCGGGGTCAGGTGCAGGATGGGGGCAGTTTGGGGGTGATGGCGAGGGGGGGCTGTGCCCACAGAGACCGCCAGGGTCGGGCGCTCACAGGCGATGCTGTGGATCCGCAACCCCCAACGCGCCCCGGCTGAGCTCTGAGCCCCCTCGGGGCTGGGGACCCCCAGGACTGGGGAGCTGGAGCTCAGGCAGCTCCGAAAGTAGGGACCCCCCTGCGCTGCCCCCCCCCCCGGGCTGGGACCCCCGCCCCATCCCAGCACTCACATCATTGCCGAAGGCCTCGGCCGGCAGTGACAGAGCGTGAGCGGCCGCGGCGGCCTCGCCGGGTCCCTGCGCGGGGAGAAGCTGCTGAGGGACGGGACGGGGCGGGCCGGGACCCCCGGACCCCGACCGAGACCCGGCCCCGGACCCACCAGTCCCGCCGCCGCCATTGACAGCGCTGACGAAAGAGGCTCCGCCCCCCCGCGCGTGCGCCCACGGGGATACGGGAACGGGCACCGGGGGGCACGGGGGAGCGTGCGGGGTGGGCAGGGAGCGGTGGTCCAGGGCAGCGGCATCAGTGCAGGAGGCACACGGCAGGATGCAGTGGTCCAGGGCAGCGGCATCAGTGCAGGAGGCACACGGCAGGATGCAGTGGTCCAGGGCAGCGGCATCAGTGCAGGAGGCACACGGCAGGATGCAGTGGTCCAGGGCAGCGGCATCAGTGCAGGAGGCACACGGCAGGATGCAGTGGTCCAGGGCAGCACCATCAGTGCAGGAGGCACACGGCAGGACAGGGTGGTCCAGGGCAGCGGCATCAGTGCAGGGGGCACACGGCAGGATGCAGTGGTCCAGGGCAGCGGCATCAGTGCAGGAGGCACACGGCAGGATGCAGTGGTCCAGGGCAGCACCATCAGTGCAGGAGGCACACGGCAGGATGCAGTGGTCCAGGGCAGCACCATCAGTGCAGGGGGCACACGGCAGGATGCAGTGGTCCAGGGCAGCGGCATCAGTGCAGGAGGCACACGGCAGCATGCAGTGGTCCAGGGCAGCACCATCAGTGCAGGAGGCACACGGCAGGATGCAGTGGTCCAGGGCAGCGGCATCAGTGCAGGAGGCACACGGCAGGATGCAGTGGTCCAGGGCAGCACCATCAGTGCAGGAGGCACATGGCAGAAGCTGCAGGGCAGGGTGGCCCAAAGAAGGGCCTGTGACATGCCAAGCGGTTCACACAGTCATGAGGGGTCTGATTGACTCCAAGGGTGGGTGCTATTAAGGTGTGAAGGGTGCTCATTGGCTGATTGATTGATTGAATGAATGAAAGAATGATTGACTGATTGAGTGATTGATTGAGGCCCTCTGCCTGTATAAGCTGCCTTGGTTGGGGCTGCTGCTGTGTTTGGATGCTGCTCTTGGGTTGGTAATTGCATTGTAGTGACTGAGGGTGAGTTCTCTAACTCAGTGCTGGCTCCTGGGCTTCTGGGGTGAGCTGCTGGGGTTGGGGATCCCTCAGCAGGGGGTCCCCAATGAGCAGCTCCATGTCCTTTACAGACAGCATTGACATGGGCAGGCCTGTGCCTGTGATCTGGGGTGAGCATCAGCAGCATCGCTGGGGGCTGCTCCCCCTTTCCCTGTACTTCCAGCCTGGGGTTACTGCTCTGCCTTTTGTGCCTGCAGTTGAGTTGTGAGCAGGACTCCTGCATCCACCAGTCTCGCCATGGAGCAGGGACCCCGCACCCCTAATCCCAGCCCTCCCCTTCTCTCCAAGCAGGAGCAACGGCTCCCCTGAGGATCCCCTTCCTGCAAAACAGGGGCTGGTTGGGGTCTCTTTGCACCATGGGGTTAATGCTCATTGCCCACAGCTGGGAGGGAAAGGGGGTGATGGGAGGGGGGAAATGCAGGGTTGGGGGCTCTTTGGGCTGCAGGCTCCCACATTCAGCCCCATCCCTGCCAGGGCGAGGAGCCAGCCGGGGCAGGAAACCAGCAGCAAAGAAGCAGCAGGAGCTGTGTCAGAGCCCATCCAGGTACCGGGTGTGGGGCAGTGGGGTGGGTGTGAGGGTCCCTGCAGGGCTGGGAGGGGACCCGTGTGTGCCCCTGTTTGAGTGGGGCTGGATCCTCCCCAGCCCTAAAGCAGGGTCAGGGACTCGCACGGGGCCTTCTCCTTCGCTTCCAGCCGCAGAGGAGCCCTGAATGCTGCTGCTTTTGGGTTGCCCCTGCCCAACAAATGCTGTTTTGCGCCGCTGGCTCCGTTCTGGGGACGGAGGGGCTGTGGGGGCCATGGGAGCATCCTCCATCCCTGCCAGGGCCTTCAAGGAGCTCTGTGCCTGCTGCCCACCCTGGAGCATCCTTCCCCTGGGGCTGGGGGGCCGGCAGCAGCCCCCCTACCCCTGTCCTGTGCAGGGCAACAAGAGGTGCTTGTGAATAGGAGACAAAAGGGGATTACAGAGCAGCAGGGAGATGATTATAACCCATTGACCTGGCGTGGGCCGGAGGCAGCAGGTATTGGTGGAGGGTCTGGGGGGGCTGCTGGGTCCCAGATTGGCTCTGAGAGAGAAGCTGAGCCACCACAAAGGCTTTGGTCTGCTCCAGGTGTGGGGCAGGAGGGGGGGGGGGGGAATGTGGGGCTGGGCCTGCCCCCTTTGGGCTGCTGGGATGGGGAGGGGGGCGAGGGCCTGTTCCCCATGGGCTCTGGCCTTTGAGGCCACACGCAGGACAGGAGGCTGTGACAGGCACCGCTGGCCCTGTCCCTTCATCCCTTCAGCCTCCCCTCGCCCTGCAGGGGCTGCTTGCACAGGCCCCCCTCCCTGCTGCTGCGCTGACAGCTCCACAGGACCCCTGCCCCAGCCCGGGGGGGGGCACGTCAGGGGTGATGACGGCTCCGTGGCCATCCATCATCCCCATGGCTGGAGGCGCTGAGCCCCGGCCCTGCCCCGTGCCCCACCAGGGGATGCTGAGCCCTGGGACTGGGATGTTTGCATGTCCCCATGCGGGTGGAAGGGGGCCCCTGAGTTTGGGGGTGCCACGGTTGTGGGTCTGGAGCCTAAGCTGTGCTTTGGGCTGAACTCCTGGCCCTGGAGGTGAGAAGGCAGCAGGGGAGGTCTAATTGGGGTCGTTAGCACTGAATCAGGCCGCTGCCCTCCTGCGGATGGGTGTCTTGCTGATCCTCACCGTCCTTCCTCATGGGCCCCAATGCCCTGCTTTGCACTGATGGGGAAACTGAGGCTACAAGCATGGGGGCAAGCGGTGTCCACACTAAACTCCTCATGTACCCCCTAAGGGCCACCCCACGGACGTGTTTTACCCCCCAAGGCACCACCCCAGCTCCCTGCTGGGGTATTTATAATGCACTTTGCACCTCCCTGACCCAGCAAACGGAGTGTGGAGCATGCTCAGCCCCTGCTCCCGGTGGGGAGAAGATACCCGGTGGGGTGAGAGCAGGAAGGGGGGAGCTGTGGGAGGCAGTGGGGTCCCCAGAGCCCCCGCACTGAACCAGCTGGTTAAATGCTTGGCACCTCGGGGCGAGGAAGTTGACAAGAGGCGTCCTCGGTGCCAGGGCATCTCTCCCTGCATCAGGGGATGGCACCATCACCGGGCCCCAGCGCATCCCAAACCCGGCATCTCCCCGTCTGTGGGGTGAGACGGGGGCTTTGCCACCCCCGGCCATGGGGACACTCCTACCCTGTCCCCTCCTCCCGCCTGACCCCTGCGAGGTGGGATCCTCCTGATCCTCCTTTCTGCTCCGGAGCTGCTGCTGCCTCCCGGGGCAGGCCCGGCCCCTCTTCGCCCGGGCTCTCCCCACCTTTAAAGGCTGCCCCTTGGTGCAGCTCCCAGCACCAGGCTGGGAGCAGGAGGGCGCTGGCAGCTCCATGGAGCCCACCCTTGACCGTGGGCAGCCCTGCCCTGCCCGCAGCCGCTTCTCCCGTTAGCGCTGCCGCAGGGAGATGCGAACCAGGGACTAAGCCGGGGCCGGGCCGCTGATGGGGCTGGGACGAAGGGGACAGGACGGATCTGGATGCCCCCGAGGTGTAGGAAGCCCCGGGGCTGGAGGAGGAGAGGACCCGGCTTTAGCTCCTGCCCCATGCTCCATCCCCGCTGCTGCTCTACTGGTGCCTGGCTCTCACCCGGCTCTGTCCTCGGCCGCCGGAGGAAGGAGGGGACCGGCTGCACCCTGGGGATGCGCCGGTGGGGAGGGAGGCTCTGAGGCTTGCGGACACCGTTTCATGCCGTGCCCGGGGGGCTTCGAGGAGCACCATGCAGCCCATCAGCCTGCAGAACCTCTCCATGTAAGCCCCGCGCTGCCGGTCGCAGTCCCCTCAGACCCGGGTCTAGCGGGAATTTGTCCTTGACCACAGCAATTCCTTGTGGTGGGAAGGGGGGAGAAAGAAAACAACTGACCCGAGCCAAGCGCCCTGTTCTCTCCCTCTCTCTTTGTCTCAGATGTTTCCAGCTCCTCATGTTCTCCTGTCAGACGCAGGTAGGTGGATGTTTTACTAACCCCGTGGCACACCGCAGCGCCGGGCCGGGTGAAGGCACCAGCTCTGCCATCCCCTGAGCTAACCCTTGGGGAATGGGGACATTCCTTTGGGATGGCCTTGGCTTTAGTGGGTGGCTTTCCCACTGCATGCCCACCTCAAGTGGGTCTCAGCTTCCAGCCAGGGGAGGGATGCTGTTGTATCCCCAGTGGGGTTCGCTGTGCCCATCAGCCTGGCCTCTGGGCTGCAGCGGGTTGACACAGGGGTATCCAGAGCCTGGAGCTGTCCCGTTTCCCATCCTCCAGAGGCTGGGATGAGGTCAATGGGGAAGCTTTCCCAGGGCGGATCCTTGCTCAGGGCAGGACATGCCAAGTCCATCAGCCTCGAGCCTCCAGGACCCGGCTCTGCCCTGGCTGATGCTGAGCTGCTGCCGAGGGGGTTAATGGGGCAGAGCAGGGATTGGTCCCCCCAGCAGTGGGTGTTGTGAGGTTTGACACCCCCCTCCTTCCCCCCCCCCTTAGGCTGCTTCATCCCTTTTTGTGTGCTTTAGAAAGGCAGCGGCTATTAAAATGCACTGTTCCATACGAGCACCCTCTGCTCCAGTGCCCGAACAACCCCCCCAGCAGCCCTAAGAGCCTCGGGACCCTCTTTCTTTGCTGTTTGCCTTCTTTTTCCCGAGGTGAACACTCCTATTCCTTTGGAAACAAGAGGGGAAGGAACCGCCTTTGATGGAGAGCTCCCCCCAGCCCCCTCCTTGGCCAGCCCCAAAGGCTTTAAAGTAGATCCTGGCAGGAAATGAGTCCCCAGGCACACACAAAGGTGGGGGGTGTGGGGGGCTGTGGTGTGTCAGGCAGTGCCCCCCATCCCTCTGCTCCCTATTTGTGAGAGGAGCCAGGGCTGGATCCCCCTGCCCAGCACGGGGATGCTGCAGCACTGGGATGCAGGGCACCGGGTCCACGCACCCGAGGGATGTTGTGCCCCCCAAACCAGGCAGCCAGACCCCAAATACTCCCCATGGGATGAG